GCTAGGAAATACAAGGTCGCTATATGTTAATGGTGATTAGTCGGGTAAATCAGGGCTGCGTACTCGTCCCCATCATATTCAGTGTCATGGGCTCTGCCATGCCGATTGTCGTCTGTTATAAGTAGTAGCCGAGATTCTTTATCAACCACCGAACTGATGGAAACTTCTTAAACATCCGTCTTCAGAATGCTTCTCCGGGAATAACCCAGGCGAGCTTATATGGCCTATCGTTCGCAGGTGACTGCATGCTAACTACAACAAAGGAAAAGGACACACAGCGAAGTGTACCCATCTTTGCATCAGGTTGCTCTAACTGGATGATGACGTTTAACATGGATAGAGAAATGGCAATGCACGAACCGGGCGCCCAACGTGGAATTCAATAAACAATATATGAACTTCAATGGAACTCCAATTGCACCAATTGGTCGGCTGGACATTTGACCAGCCTCCAACCTGGAACCGATGTGGACTTGAGATTAACATATAATCAAAAATTTGTACAGCGGTAGCCTTCAGTACGCTACTTTAAGGAGAAAAGACGTGTAAACTATCCGCTATTTAATCTAGAAAGCCCAATAAATTTCACGTCATATATGGTTAGACAGTACCAAAACCGCGGTCTTAGGACATGAACCCGAATGCTGAAATCCTGGAGTGTATCGAAATCCTCAGCATCCACGTCATGTTGAGGTACTTGTAACTTGGCTTGAGCGACAGCCTCACAGTGATGTATTGCGAACAGTCCCCGAAGTGGCTATTCTGTGGGGACGTCGTACTAGGAGCGCGTTAATATGGAGGCAGAAAGGACATTACAATGACGCTCTGCAGATTTCTCTCAAAAATCTACAAATCAAACTGGGGAATGGGGGTTGATCGATTCCAAGAATAGCAGTAAAGACTGGAACATTAATTTACAAAGGTGGAGGGACTGCCACAGCTAAAACCAAAATGGTAGGTTTTATGTCTCAAGTGTCGTCAACCAACTATTCGAAAAGCTAAGCCTTCCCATCAGGTCGGCGATGACAAAGAGCCGCCCGCGCACAGATCGGCCTTTTTGACATTTTATGATTGAATGCACTACCAACATGGTGTACCTTCCTCTCGCCCCCGAAACTGTCACCATGGCGACCCTTCACAATGTCGCCGACTTCCACCACAGTCGAGAAAACGCCGGATGCTCTGTCATCCATCATCACCTCCTTCATCAATAACCCAGCGTCTCTTACAATCATTTACCCATTGCGCTGAAGGAACGTTCAGGGAACTTTAGTACTGTACTAGTAGTGAAAATTCAACTGCCAGATGGTAAGTCAGAAGGGGAAAGGTCATTCACAGGCAAAGGTTTATTTTGTATCTGACGTTTCAGGTAGTAGTCTCGTCTACCCATTTTCAGAGAGTGAACACTCTGGCTCCTGGCTCTCGCTAAATGCCGCTCCTTTCTTCCGCGTGCGTAGTGTAACAATGCCGAATGACCGCTCTGTATGTCTCTCGTGATCCATGAGTTAAAGCGCTACAGTCGATTTATGGATGACAACTTTGCTGTCGTCCCAGCAGAAACCGATGTAAATGCGCTTCTAAATACGGGTAATCAAGCACACCCCTTCATTGAGTTCACGTTGAAGGTAGAGACG